GGAGAGAGCTAAAGGATGTTATAGAATTGTTAACTTAAGGGTAATATAATTTAAGACAGAGTATAATTATTGTATTGTAAACCCTGTGTGTAGCTCTGGGAAGTCGGGGGGGAAGGGAGGGGGGTGGGAAAGGGTGGGGCTTGAGGGAGGTGGGGAGATATATTGTAAAACTTTTAAAAATTTTCAATAAAAAAAAAAAAAAAAGATTTGCCGACTCCAATATTCAGAATTCCACAGCCAGCCTACACATCTTAAAGTTGCCAAGGTTGAGACATGCTGTAATAAAAATAAAAGTTTGGTGATCAATGAACAATCTGAAACTTCGCAATGAGGTTGATGACCTGAAGAGTACAGGATCTCTGCTTTAACCTATTGTGGGATTGTTCTTTTCTTTTTGGTACTGTGGCTCCTTAAAACGTGTGTTGACTTCTCCATGGATGAAGTGTTTTTACCAATGGTTACACAATGTGTTGAATTTAGTATATTATTAGCAAGACCTGTCAACTTTATTGGCCAACCCACAATTTGTGAAATCTCTTCAATGTTTTGAGATGCCTACTGGGATTCTGATGCAATGTTCATTTTATTAAATTATATTGAGAAGGTTAAATGACTGAAATGAAACAAGATGGGACTTGCTTGTTTGATTTTATTGGGAACTGACCCAAAATGTACATAAAGGGAAATTTTCTTGTGTCTTTCTTGAATGTCTTCATATTTACTTTGAATAGATGCTTCTATGTTCTGACGTGAGGTGGCCTCACAGTTAACACTGCATTAAAACCTGTCTAAGAATCAAATCCTACATAACTGTTGGAAGAAAAGTCTTCATCCTGGTTCATCCAAGCTGGGAATAAACATGGCAACTGCTTTGGGAAGGTTATAGTTTATTGGAAAGGAGAGCCAGACAGGAAGATGGCTCTGGCAGAAAAGAAAGAAAAATCAAGGGCTGAGCACATGTGCAGTAGGTTTTTACATCCTCTCTAGCCTTTTGTTTGGAAGTTTCCTGTTCCTGTGGCATGAACTTTGAACTGAATCTGAGTGTTTTTCTAGGCCTTGGTATCTGTGGTTTAATCCTATTATCATATCCTGCTTCCCTGGTGATGGGGCTAATGACTCCTAAAGTTTGGGTGGGGTGTGCAGATTTTAAGTCTTTGTCTTCTTGATCTCCTAGCTGGGGCCTTTCTGATGGTTTACATCTGCATTTGTATAGGGCTGGCTTCTGCTTGGGGGAGGGAGACCTGGGCATGCTTTTCTGTCTCTTTAAGATCCTTGAAGGAAATATATTTTTTCCTGGGGAGGGGGGGACTTCCCACAGAACCTAATAGGAATGGCTTACAAAGTGTGTGTGTGTGTGTGTGTGGAGTGCTACTGCACTCAGTAAAAGCCGTTTAAAGTCCAACGCCGTTTTTTACCCCTCTATATATACTATCTAAAATAATTTCAGGCCAGTCCTTAAAATTATCACACTAATCGACGAAAAGCTCCATATCTCAGAACTGCTTCAACGTCTGTTTTGTAAAGGAAAAAAAACACCTACCCTTCCCAAGAGTCTTTTCGGCGTAAGCGTTTAGCTCCCATCAGCCTTTGCGCCTGAATTTGAAAAAGCCGCGATTCAGGAACCTTAAAGTGAGTGATGAGTTTCTGTACTGGTGGCTTTGAAAATAGGGTCTGCTGTGACCCTGATTTTTGCACGGTTTTGAAGCGTGCATTGCAGTGGAGAATATTTTTTTATCGTGGCTTCTCGGGGGAGGGTGGATTGTAATGGGACGCAAAGGATCCCGGACGTGATTTCCGCTTCCTAGAGTGGGGAGAACGGAGCCCCCAGCCCAGTTTCTTGACTTGATCCTCTTTTATCGTCGGTCACTCCAACAGATTTGGAAGTAAGTAAATGAAATGCTCCTTTTCACCTCCCGGAAATATATAGCCAGGATTCATTGCGTTCAGTCCAGTCTTTTGAAATCCAAAACTGAGTCGGAACTTTTTCTGAACCCTTTTCTCGCTCTCCGTAGGTTCACGCGCATTGTTTTGAATATTTTAAACCATATTACAATCTTGAAATATTTTCTTTTGTAGAAATAAATTCCTTTATTACCGACATAACACTCTTAAGTTTCCCCGTTTTGGGGGGTGGGTGGGACTTCGAGTCAATGGCGATTCCCTGGACGAGTCCCTGTAGTTTTCCTGGCAAGTTTTTCCAGAAGTAATTTGCTCTTGTTTTCTTTCTAGGGCTGAGAGAGCATCACTGGCCCAAAGTCACCCAACTGGCTTTGACTTCCGGTTTCTAACCTGGAATATAACCACTACGCACCAAACTCATTAACTTTGCCCAATAACGTTACTTATAAACCAACTGACTTATAAATCAAACTAATGAGGTTTGCACACTAAGGCCCCTTCCTCATTGCTAAATGGAAATGCTACCCACCTCTTACTTGGCAGAAACCTAACAATATAGTATGATTTTCCCCCCCACTACTGATTCCTGTCCTGATTCTATGCCTCTGCTTCCAATCACTGTGGTGTTGAAGAGAATGTGTGATAATACTTAATAGACATTAAAGTGGGGTTAGAGAAATGGATCTTTAATAATAGAGGTGTTAAGAGTTAAGTAGCATACAAGTTTTGTATTCCTATTGGCACAGTTGAATAGGGGTAGATGACTTAAGCCTTTCTGGAATAAAAGCAATATGGGTAAAGCAGAAATAAGCTCTTCTCACAGATTTTTGTGCTGTGATTCAGTTGTAGTTGGTAGGTCTTTAACCTTGTAAAGTATTGTATTATTTGTTAGATTAGTTAGTACTTTTTGTACAGAAGCTCAAGGCAACATCCATAATGCTGTTTCTTTTCTCCAGAACAGTGAGGTACCTGTAGGTTGGAACACAAGAGAGGAACCAGCCTAAGGTCAGCTAAAGAGTTACTATGACTGAGGGTGGGTCTCCCTAAGTCAGCACCTTAGTCCTGCCACCACATGGCTTTCATTTTGTGTGAAGTCAGGTGGCCTTGGTATCCAGGTATATACATGATTTTCCCCAAGCAGTTCCTTCTGTGACTGTTAACATTACACAGAGGACCAGGTTTTCTTTGAGTTAGCTCATAGCCAAAGAGCTAGGGAGGCGATCTTCATTAATAAAATAAATAGCTCATCAAGCTTTAATTTAGTTAACCCTTGCTAGGTCAGATTTAGAAAACAAGTACTAAATAAACTGCACATTTTCAGAATCAGAATAGAGCTGGAAGGCACCTTGGAGGTCTTCTAGTCCAATACCCTGCTCAAGCAGGAAATCCTATATATTTCATACAAGTGGCTGTCCAGTTTCTTAAAAAACCCCAGTGATGAAGCACCCACAACTTCTGAGGGCAAGCTGTTCCACTGATTAAATGTCCTCACTGTTAGGAAGTTTCTCCTTAGTTCCAGGTTGCTTCTCTCTTTGATTAGTTTCCATCCATTGTTTCTTGTTTTGCCCTCAGATGCTTTTGTAAATATGTTGTCCCCCTCCTCTTTGTGGCAGTATTTGAGAGGCTGCCACGAGAAGGGGGTCAATTTATTTTCCAAAGCACCAAAAGGCAAGACAAGAAATAATGGATGGAAACTAATCAAGGAGAGAAGCAACCTGAAATTAAGGAGAAACCTATTAACAGGATAATTTACCAGTGGAACAGCTTGCCTTCAGATGTTGTGGGTGCTTCATCACTAGAAGTTTTTAAGAAGAGACTGGATAGCCACTTGTCTGAAATGATATAGTGTTAGGTTTAGGATATAATAAATGGTTTGTATTGCCAGTGATTAGAGTTGTGGGAAAAATGAGAGGAGGAAGATGTATTGAATGTGTTTGCCCCCTTGAATTGTTTGTAAAAATACATCTATAATTGTCTATTCTACAATTATAGAGTTGTAACCTACCCTCTATTTCTTTTTGTATTCTAATAGAATGGAGGCAAATCTGGATAAACCAACAGTTTCCAGACCTTCCTTTCTTTCAGCAGTTGAGCTATCCCCAAGAACTGGCCCTGTGGATGCTAGTGATGTTAAAAAAAATCTATACAGTGATTTTTCTTCAAGTTTCAATATAAGCCGGGTAAGAGAATAAACAGTGGAAATGTATTTATTTAGTTTCTATGACCACCCATATCAAACAACTGACTTTGGGCTGATGAACAATCATAAATCACTTAAAATCAATTGCAAACATGATGTCAATAAATACAGTATATACAGCAGCCAAGAAAAATTGTAATCAATAGATTAGGGGTGTCAAACTGCTGGCCCGCCGGCTGGACGCGTCATCCGGAAGCCGCGCCCACCCCATTGCTGACAATGGCAAAACTGTCCCGATACGTGACGTTGCGAGTTTGACATGTCTGCAATAGATGTTATTATAACCTGGAAATGGGCCCTTAACACACTCAGGATCTCCTTTATGCTCAAAGATCCTGTTTCACAATCAGAGGAAAGTTTTGGTTTTTTTTAAAGAAAAATCTTAAATTATAACTAGGGAAATAACGGCTTTGGAAATGGCATAGGAAATTTGAGTAAATATGGTAGAATGAATTCCACAATTTGATCTAACTAGTCAGTTGTTGGCAGCAGACTCTAATACGGTTTGAATCTTTTTTTTTTTTTTAAGTTGTCTTATAGGAGAAAATCCGGTCCAATGTTACTGCAAGGTACTTTGGATGGAGATTGCAGGGGCTTCATATGATTGTTGTTAAGTTTGTTGTTAAGGTAGAAGCACCATTTTCAGTGGTCAAGTCTTGAGCTAAATTCAAGGACTTGAACTCTTGAGACAGTAATGTAATGTAGTTTTTAAAAACAGCTGACATGCCATCTTATGTAGCTTATGTTTCACAGAAATGAGAGGTATCAGTATGGTGTATTTAGGAATAGCTAGTGGGCTTTTTCATAGTGAAGAATCTGCAAGGCTTTGCTGTAATAAGTGAGATGCTAATTCTCTGTGTATGAGAGAGATGGAGCGAAAGGACTGAGGGAAAAGGCTTGACTAAGGAGAAAAAAATGTTCTCTGCAATTGTAAGTCTGGGGCATTCGAAAATTATTGGCCACAAACTAGATTTTTATCACTTTTTCTTTTAATTAGAGAGAGAGCCTGGAATCCAAAGAACGAATTCATGTTTGCCTTCGGGTCAGACCAATTTTAGAGTTGGAAAAAGAACATGATGTTCAGGTATTATTCAGCTAAAAGAATTAAAAGCAAAACTTCATTAAAATTATGCTATCTGCTTGGCTCTAAAAGATTCCCACCCTCACCCTATTTTTTTTTAGGGTTGTGTTTCTGTGGTTGACTCAACAAGTGTTGTATTAAAAGCTCCTAAAGGCTCCAAGACATTTCGCCTTAGTGAAAAAAACCTGCGGCAATTGGTGCAGAAATTTACTTTTTCCCAGGTATAGCCGGTTTCCTTATTGGTACTATGAAAATATTATGCATATTTAACAGGATTTTTTTTTTTTATTATTATTATTATTATTATTATTATTATTATTATTATTATTATTATTATTATTATTATTATTATTATTATTATTATTATTATTATTATTATCTTTTAAAAGTTGAGACTCAATATATTTTTTGCAATTTTTATAATTGAAAACTTAAAGACCTTTCTTGTATATTTCTTAGGTATTTGGGCCCAAAACAACACAAGAAGAACTCTTTGATGGTGCTCTGAAGCACCCTATGTTAGATTTCCTAAGGGGACACAGTCGGCTAATATTTACTTACGGTGTGACAAATGCTGGGAAAACACACACCTACCGTGGTACATCTGAGAAACTCTGATTTATCTGAGCTATACGTTTCAGCTAAGGTTGCTTTTTGTCCTCTTGGTGGCACAAAATAATTTCACAGTTCCAGCTATTTTGGGGATATTTAGATATTTAGATTTGAGAAGATGAAAAGCCACTTTTATATTGGTTCTAGTTAAGACTTTTCTATATTTATTGGCAGCAGTTTTAAAGTTTTAAGCCATCTTTCCTATCCCTGTAACCTGAGTTTCAAACAATAGAGGGCAGAGATTGGATCCTCTTGCATGCAAAATATGTCCTCTGCTATTCCGAATCCTTTCACTCAGTTGAAACAAGGTACCCTGTTTGAAGTCAATAAATGTGCTAGTGTGTATTTAAGATGAAAAGCCAGGATCTAACATAGTAATGGTACTTTAGTCTTAAACTCCTCAGGTGTCTTAATCAAGTGATGGAATTCATTATCGGAATGTATTTTTATGCAACAACTACACTAGTATTCACCCAGTAGATGGCAGTGTTTACAAGTTTGGGTCTATGGTATATAATGTTCGCTCTTTTGTTCTAAGTAGGGTTTCCTGTTTCCTGTTACAGTTAATAGTTGAGCAGTAAAGCACATGGTGACTGTACTTTTTGTTTGCTCTGTATAGTGCTTTATATAAAAAGAATTTCTAACATCAAGTGATCATCCTTTAGCATTATTATTTGTAATAAGGAATGGATAAATCCAGGAATCAGAAGGGTGCCCACTAGTGTGTTCCATTTCGCCATGTTGGCCATGTCAATGCTGATACATTTGGTCAAGAAAAATGCAAATAGCTAAAAAAGCTATCCTAGGACCCACAAGTATTTTTCAATAGGAGGGGGGGAGGGAGAGAAAAGAACAAGGAAACATTTCCATATAAATGATATAATGCTAATGAATAAGTTGAATTCATTGAATGCTTTCCATTACTTTTATTTTTTGGTGGCAAAGAAATTATACATATAAACTGAAGTAAGTCCCACTGAATGCAAGTAGGGCTCACTACTATGAGGAATTAAGTAAGTTCTAAGCAGTAAGAATACTTGGTGCTTTTTGTCAATATACAAGACAAGCAAGTCCATATTTGCTGCCTGCTATAAAACTGTATTGTATTTTCCTGAAGGATGGCTCCAATTCAGCCTTCTGCAACCTGGGTCCACAAATATTTTGGATTTCCTTGGCCAGCAGTTATAGAGGCTAGGGTCCAGCATATCTGGACAGCAACAGATTGGGGGATAATGGCAGTCATTCAAAAATATATTTAGTTCAGAAATTTCAGCCTTTCTTTATCTCTGCTCCAACAGCTTGGAACTCTACCTAAGTCTTAAATTCTATATGCCAGGTACAGATGAAGATAAAGGCATTCTCCCCAGGGCGCTGGACATGTTGTTTAAAAGCATTCAAAACAAACTGTATCCAGACATGAATCTCAAGCCCCATCGATGTAAAGACCATAGAAATCTGTCTAAAGAAGAAGTGAGAGAAGAAATATCTCTAAAAAATTCATTGCTTCGCCTCCTGAAAGAGGTACTATGACTTAAAAAAAAACAAAGCAAACTTTTTAGCAGCTTTTAGTGAATAAACCCAGAACAGAAAAATCATGGGTTTGACAATAAGGAAACATTTAATGGAATGTAAGGATAAGGAATAGAATATTGCCTGGTTGGTGGATTAACGCACATGCCCCTTCCCTTCTGTCAGTTTGGGTGATGTTCAGGGGTTATGTAACAAGTTCAGAGAAACTGTACACATTAGATGAATGCTCTGATCTGATCTTATTTGTTTTTAGTTATTGCAGAATGTGACTTTTGTGCTCACTTCATATCATCTAATATTAAAATACAAGGGATGATGGAGAGAAACCTCTAACAAAATATTTGTGGTAATCCAAATTTTGTCCTTGACTTAATTTTCAGGTAGATTGCCACAGCAGCAGTAATAGAACAACAGATAATTGTGAAGGTAAGTTAGGTTGTTCATACTCGTTTGCTAAACCATTGTTTACTGAAGAGAGTTGGATTCACAAATAATGTTCAGCTAATGTCACCAGGGCCACTCTCAACTTTGGAGTAGTGTGATGGAACCATTTTTCAAGGGATTGGTAGGATTAGGACAAAGAAGTGAACAGAATCTAGACAATTTCTGCATATATTGTATTTTGCCAACCACAAAATCTGGGTCTGCATAGCATGTTAAACCCAAATCAAGCATTATTGATATTGCTGTAAAAAGTGAATATTGCTAGTTGTCACATTGTTGGGTTCATTGCTGTAGCTAGCAAAGTCTAACAGCTAACTCTATGATATATCCAAGCTGGGGTTGTATTCTCCATACCAACTGCCCACTACTGAATAATATGGTTTTACATTTTGACTTATTTAATTCCAATGTTCTGCCAGATATGAAAGAACCAGAAAAAGAAGCAGACCAGTCTTACCTGGAAGAGCAGAGAAACGTTAAATTCTCTGTTTGGGTTTCTTTTTGTGAAATTTACAATGAGTGCATTTATGACTTATTGCTTCCAATATCCAATGACAAGAGAAGAAAAATGCTGCGCTTGGCGCAGGACATAAAAGGCTATTCCTATGTAAAAGGTAATGAAAATTTTAGCAATTGACCATAATTTCAATAACTTACAAATACCCTCCTTTTTCAATATGAGATAGGCTTACTTTGACTAAAATTATGCATTGAATTATGCTATATAAATGTCATTATAAAATGAATAATATGATACAGGTTAATATTTTCAGTCCTTGGCTCTTACCTTCACTTGTTTCACTTTATTTGGAATTTCTTTATATAATCAGTAGATTTAATTTGTTCCATTTTTTCTACCAAATTTTGCCATTTAGGAATCCAGAGATGCTATTATCTTAAAAGTACCTCTACTAACAATTATTAACTCTTCATTGGCATTTATCAGGTCACTGCTTACATAATAGTTTTTGTTCAACCTGCTTTCAAAGATAAGATTCCAAGAGAATTCATTCAGATTGACATATATTTTGTAACATCGTAATGCTTTGCATGAGCCTGTAGAGTGTCTTGATGAGCATGGAAGTATATTCTGTGTTCTTGCTAATTTTCCTCCATAATTATTTCCGCTTTAAAAAGTGTAAGATCCTAGTCACATACATCTGAGGTTCCAACGGGTTAATTAGCTCTGTGGGGAAAAGTACCTATTCTTGAGACTTATTTACATCCCCCATGTATGTTTAATTTAGACCAGCCAATGTGTGAAGTAACAATTTCAAAGGCAAAATATTGCTAAATCAGATTAACTATTTCTGAATTCTGTTTTTCCAATTACATTTATCTGGTAGGATTATATATCTTGTAGGGTTTTGTTGTTGTTCAATAACTAATAAATACTCTATTTCTTGAAAGATCTACAATGGGTTCAAGTTTCAAACTCCAAAGAAGCTTTTAAACTTGTGAAACTAGGGTTGAGACATCAGAGCTATGCTTCCACAAAACTGAATGCCAACTCAAGTAGAAGGTAAAACAGCAAGTGCTTGGTATGGAATGGACAAATGTCTGCTTTGTATTTAATTTGGAAATCTTATCCAATCTAGACTTAATGCTCCCAAATCTTCTTGTTCATAATATGTTTCCTGATCTATCAACTCAAATATTCTGGTTTTATGTTTCCTTCCACGAACAACCACAAGATGGAGCTTACAAGCTGTCATTTTCATTTCTGATCAACATATGTTTGCCTTAACTAATAATTGACTGGTTCAGGCAGTCTTTAAACCCTCCGTTTAAAGAAATTATAGCTAAGACCTATTAAGTTGTTACAGAGCTTATAAACCACTCCAATCATAATTAACTCTTAGCAGCCTACAAGTCTACCTCCATAGCTCAGATTAAAAGACAACAAAACAAAACTATAAAAGTACAGTTGTTTGGGAAAAGCTGCAGTCCACCCTTATATCATCCTCATTATTTCACGTATGTATCAGTGGTATTTCAATTAGTAGAGGGGCAAATATCTCATTCAACTTTGCAGGACTTGAATAGTTTGAATAGCTAAGGCTTTGTAGACTTTGGAAATGTCAGTCAGGAGGGCGCTATTCAAATGTCCAGAAGAATGCTGTACTAAAACAAAGGGAACAGCAAGGCATGCTTCCACAGCCCTAGATAGGAAAGTTGGAGCAAGGACATGCAAAAAGAAACTGATCTTATTGGAGAGGCAGATATTCTTGGGAGATGGTGGTCCCACAGATATCTAAAAACTGAATCATGCAAGGTTTTGAATGTCACACCCAGCAATCAGTGCAATGATTAATGCAATGGATCCACAAATAAGCAACAGGAAATCAAAAGTAAAAATTTCTAAAGTTTTAGTTCTGAGCATATTTGGGATGTCAGTGTGCAAGTATCCCAGGAAGCTAGAATTATTTGTGTTTCACTGAACCATAGAATGGCATGGTTTTTTAATCTATCCACTCTGAAGCAAGGAATTCATGCACAAGGAATTACAACCAGAATGTTGGCTGGGTGAATGAATTTATTTATTGGCTGGTAGCAAGTTGGGTGTAACTTACTTGAAAACAGAAGTACAGATAGTCCTCGCTTAACAACAATTTATTTAGCAACAATTCAAAGTTATGACAGTACTGAAAAAGTGACAACCTGTTCTCACACTTAAAACTGTCCAGTGTCCCTGCTGTCATGTGATCACAATTTGGGTGCTTGGCAACCATTGCACATTTATCATTGTCACAGCATCCCACAGTCACCTGGTGATCATTTGTGACCTTCCCAGCTGGTTTTTGACAAACAAAGCTAATGGGGAAGTAGTAGGAGGTCACAAAACACAGTCATGTGATTACATCACTTAATGACTGTAATGGGACTGCCGGAACTGCCATCGCTAAGTGAAGCAGTCATGTGATATTTCGCTTAATGAGTGGTCTTCACTTAGCAATGGGAGTTGCTGCTCATTAAGCAAGGACTATGTGTACCACAATTTCGGAATGGAAATCCTTTATGTAAGAATTGAATTCGTTGGCTTTTGAGATGCAACTACTGTTTGTACCCAGAGATGTTTGGAGGTAACTTTTTCATTTTCTCTTATAGCCATAGCATATTTACTGTGAAAATGCTAAAAATTGATTCAGAAACCACACGGGTGATGCAAGTCAATGAGTAAGCAGTCTTAATATTTCAGGAAATCATTATCTTTTCAAAACCACCGTGCAGTCTGTGTCTGTGCTGAATGGGTGTGCTTTTCTCTTCTACGTAGATTATTTCTCTGTGACCTGGCTGGCTCCGAGCGCTGCACGAGAACCTGCAACGAAGGGGAAAGATTAAAAGAGAGTGGAAACATTAACACCTCGTTGCTTATTCTGGGCAAATGCATCGGTGCCCTGAAGATCAATCAACAAACAAAGTAGGAACTGGAGGGTGTTACTTTCAGAGTAGGCAAATCTTGGACATCTCAGCCACCCATTTATAGAAAGGAAAAGGAAATGTTAAATAGCAGAGAAAAGTTTCTTTTACCTTGTTACAGACTCCTCTTCATTTTCTTTCTAACTATAAAAAAATATACAAATTATGCATTCCCTGTTTAGTGTTCTCCTAACCTTTAAAAAAAATGAAGGTGAAGGTTCATTCTCCGAGCTTGCGGGTTGGTTTCTGAACGTTTTGTTACCAGACTAGGTAATGTCTTCAGCAGAGTTTACGGGATGTCAGTGTCAGTGTTCTGTTTATAAGGGCTTCAGGTGTGGGTGTGTCAAGTGAGGGTCTTAAAACAAAAAAAGCTTGATAGTTTCTTGTCCTCCATTCTTGTATAAGACAGAAAGAACCAAAAGAGGAAGGTTTTTAGAAAACAGGGATAACAACAACAACAATAATAATAATAATAAAAAGTTGGAAACCCCTGCTCAGGCAGGAAACCCTATACCATTTCAGACAAGTGGCTGTCTAGTCTCTTCTTAAAAACTTCCAGTGTTGGAGCATTCACCACTTCTGGAGGCAGGTTTTTCCACTGGTTAATTGTTCTAACTGTCAGGAAGTTTCTCCTTAGTTCTAGGTTGCTTCTCTCCTTGATTAGTTTCCACCCGTTGCTTCTTGTCCTGCCTTCAGGCGCTTTGGAGGTGCTCAACTCTTCTATGTGGGTTGTCTCCAATTTCCAGGAACCCCCAGAATTTCATTACATGTAATCCTCAACTTACTAACCATTCATTTAGTGAAGTTACAGTGGCATTGAAATAAGTGACTTGAGGCCGGTCTTCACACTTTACAATTGCAGCAACAAACCCCCTGGTCACGGGATCAAAATTTGGGCTTTTGCAACTGGCATATATTTATGATAGTTGCCATTTCCTGGGATCACATGATCACCATTTGTGACCCTGCCAGCCAGCTTGCAACAAGCAAAGTCAATGGGGTGGGGGGAAGCTGGATTCACTTAACAACCACGTGAATCACTTAACAACTGCAGTAATTTGCTTAACGACTGACAAAAAAGTTGTAAAATCGGGCCCAATTTGCTTAATAATCACTTTGCTTAGGAATGTAAATTCTGGGCCCGATTGTGGTTGTATTTTGAGAGGGCTACATGTGCTGAGTTTCAAAGATGCAAAGATGTTTGCTTATCCAGGAAAAAAAATATTCTATGAAAAGCACGAAGTCTTAAAACTGCCACGCCTCTTTCCAAATATACCTTGAACAAGCAACATTCTTCGTCTTGCCCAATGTAATGATTTCTCCACTCTGTGATCCTTGTAATTAAATCATGTAAATAATTTTTCAGAAGTTGTTGGCCTTTGCTGTAAAGACTGAAAGATTACCTGTCTTCTAGATCTTGGTTGACTGTAGGCCTCGGCAGTCTTTCCATAAGATTTTCCTTCTATGTTGATTTTCTAGAGATACCCTTTTCTTAGTTGGGGCAAGACTACTGGTCTGTTATTTATCAGAAAAACAGTTTCCAAGCAGAAATAGTGTTTTGGTTTTGACACTTAAATGGCAGGGCTATGATTCATAAGGTATGTATGTTTGGAAAATTTTTCTTCTTGTTAGTTCTTAGTTAGTAGCAAGCTTTAAAACCTCTTTAACAATGAACGTCTAAATTAAAAATAGCAGGCAAAGCTTGTTTCAGTCACCATCCACCTGCACAGCATCTTAACTTTGGGATATTTGCTAGAAAGAACTCCATCTATTGTGTTTCTCCACCATGTATCTTCATTTTCTTTTATGAATTCAAGTTTAGCTTGAATAGCCAGGAAATATGTATGAACCCTAAGCCTATTTGTAGGAACAAGTGTTGCACTTATTTCTGCAGTAAAATTTTGCAGCTAACTTTCTATATGTTTAAACTTTGCTGCAAGGAGAAACTTCCTGACAGTGAGGACAGTTAACCAGTGGAACAGCTTGCCTCCAGAAATCGTGGGTGCTCCATCACTGGAGATTTTTAAGAAGAGGCCAGACAGTCACTTGTTTGAGATGGAATAGGTTCTCCTGCTTGAGCAGGGGGCTGGACTAGAAGACCTTCAAAGTCCCTTCCAGATTCTATTCTATTCTATTCTTTAAAAAAAATTCTCATGCTTCATTCTAGGCTGCAACAGCACATTCCTTTTCGGGAAAGCAAGCTCACTCACTTCTTCCAAGGTTTCTTCAGTGGGAAAGGAAAAGTTTGCATGATAGTTAATGTCAGCCAGAGTCCCTCTGCATATGATGAAACCCTCAATGTGCTAAAGTTCTCGGCAATTGCTCAAAAGGTAAATGTGTCCTGATGATTAATGGGTGGGAATGAATGCCTATGACAAAATTACGGGGTTACAAAACTTTCAAGTTGTCAGACTTCATACCAAGATTTGATAATAAATCTCAGCTTTCTGGATGCAGGTAGTCCTTGACTTACAACAGTTTGTTTAGAGACCGTTCGAAGTTACAACGGCCCTGAAAAAAGGGACTTATGATAATTTTTCCACACTTATGACCGTGGCAGTATCCCCACGGTCACGTGATTTACATTCAGATGCTTGGCAACTGGTTCATACTTATGACTGTTGCAGTGTCCTGGGGTCATGTGATCCCATTTTGCGACCTTCTGACAAGTAGAGACAATGAGCGAGCCAGATTCTCTTAACAACCGCATTACTAATTTAACAACTGCAGTGATTCACTTAACAAATGTGACAAGAAAAATCATAAAATGATACAAAAGCCCACAAATGTCTCACTTAGCAACATAAATTCTAGGCTCCAATGTGGTCGTAGGTCAAGGACTGCTTGTACTTAACCCTTTATTCAGTATTAGGCTAGTTTTGACAGAAGCTTCTGAGGTATGATTTGGCTAGATGAGAAACTACTGAAGACAAGAATAAAACTACAGTTGATTTGTCCACAGTAGCGCAAAGTAGTCAAAATTTTTCAGTAGGTCTGCACTGCAGTTTAAACTCTATTTTTCCCCCCTTCCTCCCTTTCAGAGCTAACAGATACTTAGTCAATCTGTTGCTGCCTCTGGGAGACATTTGAGATCAATTCTCAGCCTGAGAATTACAGGAGTCTCTACCCTTAGTCCTGCCTTCATCTCTCAGATGTGCTAATTAGCAGTTTAAAATGTAGAAAGATCAGTGCGGGGTAGTGGTAAAAGGGTTGAAGTACATCCAGAGCAAAACAGATTGAAGTCCTCCCTCAACTATGGAAGCTCCTTGGGTCACTTTAGGATAATCCCTGTCTCTCAGTCCCTTATCCCATAGGCTTGTTGGGAGGATAGTTAGAAATGAGGATCTCTTGAATGACTTTCAGAGGAAAGATAGAACTATGAATCTAACAAAGAACAGTGTGTATTTTGAATCTAATCTTCATGATATTTCAAAATTGGCTATATCTCAGTGTTTAAAAAGAAACAATATTAAAGAGATGGGCATATATTTTTTTTTTTGCAGTTAAGTTCCTTTTCTTTTTCCTACAGGAATATGGTGGAAATACAGTACAGGTAGTCCTTGACTTACAGCAGTTTATTTAGTGACCCTTTGAAGTTACAACAGCAATGAAAAAAAGTGACTTATGACCATTTTTCACACGACCCTTGCGGCATCCTCATAGTTACGTAATCAAAATTCAAACGCTTAGCAACCGACTCATATTTAAGATTCACCTTTTGCAACCCTCTGACAAAGTTGAGGGGGAATCCAGATTCACTTAACAGCTGTGTTCCTATCTTAACAACTACAGTGATTCACCTAACAAATCTGGCAAGAAAGGTCATAAAATGGAGCAAAATTCACTTAGCAAATGTCTCACTTAGCAACATAAATTTTGGGCTCAATTGTAGTCGTAGTGTCTTTGAAGAGCTCTTTTTTTACTTATATGCAGTGAGCGTTGAGGATAAAATATTCATAAATGCTGAAACATTCCTGTTAATTGTGACTTTAAGCACATTTTGTGACATCTATCTTGAACAGGTCATGGTACTAGATCCTGAGTCTCCCCAAGAAGAGAGGGTTGATCAGCTGTTCCTCAAAGCAGACTCCGAAATGACCCTTGATGATGACGTGCGCTTACCCATGAAAAGAGCAACTATATTTTGGGAGGGGACTCTGGAAGATGTGATGGAAGATGAAGAAGAACTAGTGGAAGATGACAGCGAAGAACACCAGGGGGACTGTTTGGCAGAAGACCCACATGCAAAAGAAGCTGATGCAACCGATGAGATGGAAAATCAACTCGAAGGCGAAGATAGTGATATCATTATCAGAAAAGAAGAATATCAGGTATGTCATTTGCCGGGCTCCATGTGTCCCAATCTTCAACCAAAAAGACTCTAATGAGCATGGGTAGCATCAAGGCAATTTAAATTAGGATGGGGTAGTGAAGAGAGAGAAAAAAGGAAGCTTGTGCATTGGTCCCAATGAGTATTAATGCAGTTGATTAAGAGCAGGTATTTTATCAAGATTAATGGATGGGGCCCTGCTTCCTTTCACATCATTTCTGTATAGTCTAGCAAAGAAGATAGACTATCTTCAAACAACAAAGTCATATCAGGTTCCTGGCTTTGGCTTATTTCAATAAAAACTAAGCAGGGTCATGTCTGGTTAGTAAGAATATGGGACATAGACTAGACTGAGAATTTTTTTAAAAAAATCTGGGAAAATTGATGTCAAGTTATTAAACTGTTGCTAAGAAAATTACACAGACATAGCTGAGTAATGTTGGGAGATATTCCAAGTGGAACAACCAATAAGTTCGAGTAAGGTTAACGAGGTGTATTGGGGGGGGGAATGACCATTGACCACTTCTCCAGAAAGAAAAAAGGCATTTGAATAAAATTAATATATTTCTAATATAACTGCATTTAACTATATAATCAATGAGCAATAGCTACACAAGATTGCATTAGGCTACATGCATTCTATACAGGCAGTCTCTCTTTAGCTTCTTGATGAGAACCAGTTCTGTTTAATTTAAATCTAAAGTGGTTGTGCCAACTTGTAAGATTAAAGACATTTCCTTTGAGGTTATCTTGCTCCTGTTACTTTCTGCATCGTCTGCTTGCTTAATATAGTTCCCTTTATTAGCCAAGTTCCTTCCATGGTAGTAACAGGAACTGAGCTGGAGTTAAAGGGGCCTTTGCCTAGCAACCAAAAAGCAGAATTTTATATTTGAAAGCAAATCTAGCTTGTGTTTATCCTGCATATCTGTAGCTTGCTTTTCTACAATAACCTATACTCAAAGTTGATTTCCATCAGAGGCTGAAACCTCACAGGCCATCAGTCAGTGTTCCAGTGGTAAGGCGCCAGGATCTGATGCAATCCCAGCAGAAGTCTATAAGGCTGGTGGTGCTGTGCTTGTTGAAAAACTCACCCAGCTGTTCCGGTCTTTCTGGAAACAAGGTTCCATCCCTCAGGAACTGAAAGACACGTCCATCGTGCACCTCTACAAGAGGAAAGGAAATCGACAAGTCTGCGATAATTATAGAGGAATATCACTTCTCTCCGTCACAGGCAAGATCTTTGCACGAGTGTTGCTAAATCGCCTGATTGACCATCTGGAACAGGGTCTACTACCTGAGACACAGTGTGGTTTCCGCAAAGAGCGTGGCACGGTGGACATGATCTTTGCAGCTCGACAGCTCCAGGAGAAATGTCAGGAGCAGAATCGTGAACTATATACCACCTTTGTGGATCTCACCAAGGCTTT